CCCCTTTTTTTTTTTTTTTTTTTTTTTTTTTTGGACTGACCAGTTCCTGTTCTAATGGAACCAAAAAGAGTGACAAATATATAGCTAGGTGAGAGAGAAGACAGGATAATCCAGAAACTAGAGCACCTTTTAAAAATATTTTTAAACCAATCAAAATTTGGTTGCATAAAGTGGCGAGGGTGGTATTTTCTCTGTAACACCGTGCATATTTTTGCATTGTATTTTTTATGTGCAAGGTGGGAGGAATGTTTGACACAGTGCAGAGAAGCACCCAGTGGACGACAGATTGGGCCCTTCTTCTCCTTCAGATCATTACTTCTGGAACCGTCGACATGCACACTAACAAGTATGTTCTTATTCATTTCGCACTGATTTTGCTGCATGCGTGTGTAGTGAAGGCTTTGATATACTGACTACAAATTCTTCCACATCGTATATTCTTCGGTACCACTAATAATTCTGTGCCTTAAATAAAAATGCTCAGTTAGTTAAGAGTGTCTTGGTTTTGCTTTAAGGTGCAAATGCTTTCTTTCTCCTCCTAGTGAATTATTCACAACAGTTCTTGACATGCTGGGTGTTTTAATCAATGGAACATTGGCCTCTGACCTATCAAACGCATCCCCAGGGGGATCTGAAGAGAACAAACGCGCATACATGAACTTAGTAAAGAAACTGAAAGTAAGTTTGTGACCCGTTTATGTTGGGAGTTCTCATTGTTTATGGATTTGTTATTTAGTGCGTGTTATCTTATCACTCCTTAAATTAGATATTATTTATTGCATTCAACTTGATGTAATGTGATTATTTTGCTATTTGCTTTACCTCAGCTTCCCAGTACCCAAAAGTTATAAGTATATATAACTTGGAGATTTTTCTTAAAATAATTATATTCATAAAACACTTAATTTCTTAAGGAACTTTAGAAATCCCTTATCAAATGTATAACCAAAATGCCAACATTAGATTTAGGATAATTTGGCCTTCGACTGGCAGCATGCAGTTGAAAAATAAACATTTGCATTGATATTTCTAAATTCGATTCATTTGACCAGCCACTAACGTAGTCTTTGAAATAAACTGTAAACAAACAATGCGGCAAAAAAATTAACATACTCGATGACCTTACTAATAAAGTAACCAATGGTTACCTTGAGGTCTGACCCGGGATTGGGGAATGTGTTCCGTGCTGCAGCTCCTGCTTTCTGGTTGCAAATGCTACTCCGGATTTTTGTCATTTCAGCACTCTGATGTTTGTTGTGTAACAAGGGTGTCTTTATATGTGTTCTATTTTCTACTTAAATAGAAGAAATGAAACATCCTCACCACTCTCAATGAAAGCTGCCCCATAGACCGTCTTCAAGTTTAAATAACATTCCAGCTATAAAAAAGGAAATGGAACTTCCTTCTTGTTAACTTTTGCCTCTAGTGTAATTTCTGTCTTACTTCTCTCTCCCTTTTTTTTAGAAAGAGCTGGGAGACAAGCGGTCAGAAAGTATTGACAAAGTTCGACAGTTGCTACCTTTGCCAAAACAGACATGTGATGTCATCACTTGTGAACCTATGGGCTCCCTGATTGACACAAAAGGAAACAAAATTGCTGGATTCGACTCTATAGACAAAAAACAGGCAAGAGTAAATGTTTGTTTCTTATATATAAAAATGCATGAACTTACAAAGACGAAATGCATTTTCTTGTCTTCCTATAGGGCATGTAAAACATCTTAACTTTATTGTTTCTTGATTTTTTAAAACATATCCTTGTCATTTAAATGCAACGGTTATTGGCATTATCATACAGATAATGATCTTTGAAGATCTTCATTTAAAACTGTTCCTGAATTTAAGTGAATTTCTGAAGCCCACCAAGGGAAAAGTAAGTAAAAAAAAAAAAAAAAGCAAAGATCGGGTTTGATTTTACTGCAGAACTGGAAACAGAATACGTTTAATAGATGAGAAAGTTTTTATTGGTAAAAGTCTTCATGTAGTAAGCTGTTTTGAGTGAACAAATTTTTTTTAAAGTGATGGCACTTTATTTCCTTATCAACTGAACAGTATTTAATGAACACTTGATTTATGTAAGATATTCAATGTGGTTCTCTAAAATATGAGAAGAGTGGTCAGTTACTCTTTCAATGAACATTGAGCAGCCACAGATTTCTGAGATCACAGGGATGAAAGACAAAGTTCCTACCCTTAAGAGGAAGTAGATGATTACAGTGTGGTGAGAGATTTGTGTGTCCTGGTACGGAGTGCTAGCGGAAGCTGAGAAGGGGCCAACACATTCAGATGTGGGGTAGGTAGTCAGAACAGGATCCTTAGGAAAATTGACACTTGAATCATTTTGGAGGATTGAGAGTTAGCCAGGAGTTAAGGCAGAGTGTGGTACAGGCACAGGGAAGTGTTTGTGCAAAGGCATGAGAGACTGTCGCTTGTAGGCAAGATGCAGCGCTGCAGTAAATCAGAGCGCCCTGAGTGCTGGTACCCGCACGGTTGTGGAGAGAGGCAAGGCTAGAGTCAGGGGCAGGTTGAGTTCGCAGTGCTGGTGGGCTCTCCAGTGGTGACACATTTGGATACATGGTCTTGACACCTGGGAAAGAGGTCTAATGTCAAGACAGATATTAGGAAACAGTCAAAATACAGATGGTAAGTGAGCCTTGGTTTTGGATGAAGCCACCGTGGAAGAGTGTGTGTAGCTTTGGAACGGGAGCATTCATAAGTTATTCAAAGTAACTTGAGCAGTTATTTTCAGGGTCACTTGGAAGAAAAATTTTTTCAGATTGGTGTGCCAGGGAAAGGACCAAGGGACAGTGCCAATTAATGTTAAAAATAAGAAACTTTTATTTTCAGGAACAGAATAACATTTCTTCTTCTATCCTCAGTAGAGATAAGCTTGAATTGAAGGTCTTTATTTGTACCTGTTGGTGCCAGTTAATTCTGTAATAATATTACTTAACTATTCAGAGACTGCCCAAGTAAGTACCTGAAAGGTGCCTGTATTGAATCAAGTCCAACCCAATTAGGGGTTGACTATAACTTGACTCCTAAGTTTTCTTTTATCTTAAAAGCAATAGATTTCAAAGGTTTGCGGTTCAGTATAGTAAGATCGACTTCGCAGTGTTTTTTAGAAATTTTTTTTTTTTTTTTTTTTTTAAAAAAAAAAAAAAAAAAAAAAAAAAACTAAATGGAAAAAAATGCCATTTAAGGTAAAATATACTGTACTGTCTGGTGTCACAGCCTGAACAGTGTGGTATAAAGGACCGTAGAACTGGAGTTAAAGGTCTGGATTGTAGCCGCTGCTCTCAGTGATCTAGTGTCAGCCTGGACTCATCACTTAGCCCGTCTGCCTTGTGCTAGAGTTCTCTAAGGCCCCCACGAGGCAGAATGCTCTCTGAATCCATGTCCCAAGCAAGCCTGGCCTCCGAATCAGGCGAAGATCTGAGCATGTGGTCATAGTGCATTATTTCACCACAGGGTCTCCAGGTCTCCACGAAGCAGAAGGTGTCCCCATGGGATTTGTTTGAGGGTCAGAAGAACCCAGCTCCTCTGTCTTGGGCCTGGTTCGGGACTGTCCGAGTGGACCGGAAGGTCATCAAGTACGAGGAACAGCATCACCTCCTCCTGTATCACACACACCCCATGCCCAAGCCCCGAAGTTACTACCTCGAGCCGCTGCCCCTGCCCCCTGAAGAGGAAGAGGAAGGGCCTACATCTCCCATCTCTCAGGAACCGGAGAGGAAATCAGCTGAGCTGTCAGATCAAGGAAAAACCACAACAGATGAAGAGAAGAAGACAAAGGGAAGGAAGCGCAAGACGAAATCCAGCTCGAGAGTTGATGTGAGTAGGGGAAGTAGAGAGAGGTCTTGGGCACGTTAGCGTCTCCTAGCAGACTTACTAGTTCCTGAATTATATCCCTAAGAAACATTCCTAAGCGCAGTATCAGCCTATTTGTAAGCTATCCTGACGGCTCAGATGTTATCAACAGAACCTCCTCTACTTTTCGTAACTTTGTTTAATTTTAGGCTTCAATTGTGAATAATATGAATATTTCAACTGTCTCACAATTTCTCAAATTTGAAACTTGAACTTTTTGACCTATAAAATCTCATCCTCGTACATATTTTTATTATGAGGTGTCTAAAATATTTTTTGTATTTTGGGCAGTTGATATCTATAGTAGATTAACATAGAAAACTCTTTGTTTTCCCTAGATAAAACCCCATCTAATATATCTAATAGGATGATTCTGAGATTTCCTAGTTTACCATTTCCATCTTACTCTCCTTTATATTCTACTTCTTTACCGTATTTTCAGACTTTATAAGAAGTAAAATAAACATAATTTGAAACAGTTTTACTTCCTGTTTCCCTGTTAGCCTTCCCTACCTAGAGCAACCTTTTCTGAAAAAAACAGACATCTATGAGATGGTAACTTAGAAATAATTTTATAGAATTAACATGTAAAATAGCTTTCCATTTAAACTCACCTGAAAATATTTGAGAGGGAATTTGTGACATTTTTCTATAAAATTCGAGAGCGTTCTTGTTGTCCAGTGGAAGAAATATTCACAAGTTGTTGTTCAGTCATCATGACTAATTATTGGTATTGTTCACCTGTGTCGAAACCAAAACATTTTTTCCTAGCTGATAGCTTGGTGATTAATATTATTCTAGAAATGACCACCATCGCTTTTGGATGCGACTTGAATGTCAGTGCCCTCTTCTCGTGTAGGCTTGCTACCAATATCGCTCTGTTTTGAAAAAGGTCCAGACTGTTTTAATAAGGTTCAGACTGCCACTCCCCCGAGTCTGGGTCCCCTAGCCTGTCTATCCACATGGATGCATCTCTGTTCTTTTCAGATGCTTTAAAAGACCTCAGACTCATCTCATTCCCCAGGTGCATCCTGGTCATGTCCCTTTTCTCCCATACTTGTCCTGAAGCTGCCTCTTTTCAATCGGGTATATTGCAGGGAACTGAGCTTTTATTTTTCCTTTCATCCTTCAGGGCTAGAGAAGGAGGAATTGAGGCATTCAGGTGTGATCCTTAGAGGCTTTGCAGTCGCTCTAAGGAAGAGAAAGCCCTGGGCAAGAAGTGTGGTGAGGGGCGGAAGGGGACAAGGTGGAAGGGGAATCTGCTTCTTCAGAGTGTGCTGTGCTGAAAGTTGGAACTAAGACACTGTCTAGGCTGGAGACTGGTTCTGAAGTACTGTGGGCCTTTCTGGCTAATTCTCATCCAGGTACAAGGTGTCAGGAAAGCCTTGTAAGATGCAGTGAGCGGGAGATTCAGCCGCTAAAGACACTTTCTCGGCTGTGGGTGATGGTCAATACTGGTGTTCTAAATGTGCTTTTAGTATTGTAAACACAGAGTGCAGAAGAGATCCTTTTTCAACTTCCCCTACTGTAGCCATGTACATTTTAAGTCAAGGCAGAGTTTTAATTTAAATGAGTGTTTTGCAGAGAATATGCGGACTGCTGGGATAGGAGCTCTCTCAGATAATGTGATAGGAGGAATTTGCGTTAATTATCTTTGTGGCGTGTGGAGTTAAGTAACTGTTTTTTTCTTTAACCCTGTGTTGAAGGAGTATCCACAGAGCAACATGTACCGAGTGCCTCCCAACTACTCACCCGTCTCCTCCCAGATGATGCATCACCCACAGTCCACCTTGTGGGGCTACAACCTCATGGGTCAGCCCCAGCAGCCCGGCCTTTTCCTTCAGAGCCAAGCTCTCACTCCAGGTAAGTGAAGGCGGAGCGTAGTCAGGGGACTCCGAGGTGAGAAATAGCTTGGGGTTCTCTTTGCTTTTAAACTGAAACCTCCGCACAACTTGCACATTTCCAGAAGTGAGCGCTCAGTGGACATGTCTGTAATTCCCTCCACTCAAGGTGTTTTTCCCTTCTTCCAAAATTTCAGTTTGAGTGACTAGTTCATGTGTCGCTTTTGGAATTTTCATCCAATGTCAGAAGGAGATTATTATAGCTGCTTGTCTCAGCTATGAGATATAAAGTTGATAAAGGTTTGTGTTGCGAAATTTGCGTGTGCTTTTATCAGATGTAATTCTTATCAGCATTTTGAAATACTAGACACTATTATAGTGTCTTTTATTGTTTCCTCATGTTATAACTTTTAAATTGTTTATACCATGAAGGATCTCAGAAATTTGGTGCAGCAAACAGATATCAGTAAGAAATCCTACCATATTCACAGTAAATGTTAGTATTGCTTTGATTCAAGCCCAAGTAGATTTTATATCTAGAATATTTTCTGAATAAAAAGGTCTCTTAATTAGAAATGAGTTTAATTTTTTCTTTCTAAATGAAAGTTTGCCTGTTTCTGCGAAACAGTTTATTTTGAGATCTCAACCTGCATTTTGTTAGGATGTGACATTCTAACAAATAATTTTCCCTTATTGTGTTCTGTATTATATTGTGATTTGTACTGTAATTGGAGTATGACATTTTGCTTCTTGGCTTACAGTAGGGGAGAATCCATATTTTGTCCTCTGAATCAGTGGTTAAGAGAGCTGGTCTGGGAGTTACAGTTCTGCTTCAACTCTGGCTCTACCACCCTCTTACTGTATCATCTCCACCATGTCTTAGCTTCTCTGTGCCTCAGTCTGATCATCTGTAAAGTGGATATGCTAACATATACCCTCATAGTGTGGGTGATTCAATTATCCATTCAACAAAACGTATTGAGCTTCATTCATCGTGTGCCAGATCCAGTTTTAGTTGTTAGGGTATTGCAGTAAGCAAAATGGATGAAAACGCTCATTCTTTCTTTGAAGGATGAAATAAGTTTTATATTACATACACAGACGAACACACATATATAATTTAAAGTGAGTTTTTAAAAATATAGCATTTAGAAGATAGCCTGACACAACAGACAGGTTCAGTAAGTGATCTTAACATATACCTACCTCAGGGCTTTTGCACATGCTGGCCCCTGCCTGGAGTGGGCTCCCTCAGATATCTGCATGCTCACTGCCTGCTTCCTTTGGGTTGAGGCCTGCACTGACCACCCTGTTTTAAACTGTAAACCACACCCTTTCCCTGCCCGCTCTGTTCCCCTCCTCTTCCTTCAGTTTCTTTCTAGCATCGGCACTTGTTTATAGACTCTATCTACATTTTACTTACTTCCTGGTTTATTATCTGCCTTCTCCAGAATGTAAGCTCAGTGAGGGCAGGCATTTTTTCTGATGGCTCACTATAGTATGCCCAGAACTTAGAGCAGTGTCTGGCTTGTAGTGGGGTCTTAAAAGTAGGTTATTGAGTGAATAGAATGTAGACGACAAAAGAAAGAACAGACTAGGCAGTGGTAAATGTGGAAAATAATAAAGGCTTATCCTCTCTTTTGACTTTCTCTCTTTAATTCCAAAGTCCTTGTGAATTTAAGCATTTTTAAACTTTTTAGATATTGAAATCAAACACAAGGACTGTCTATAAATTGAAGGCTAAGTATTTTAAAAGGCACATTACCCTTTTCCCCCTAGAATACTGTAAAAGGTGTTTATAAGTTGAGGAACTTTAGGTATTAGGTAAGTCTTAGGTATCGTGACATATAAGAAAAAGAATTGAAGAAAACAATTAATCATGAGGATTTTACGTGTGTGAATCAATAGATTTTCATAAAGTTTTAAATCCTATGGAGTTGAGGAAGAGTATGTATCGTCTGCTTGCATTCATACATTCTTAAAAATGCAAAACAGTGCCCTCCCCCCCAACACACACACACACACACACACACACACACACACACACACACACACACACATCTTTAGCAATCTCTCTCTTTCTCATGTATACACCCCAGGATGGTAAAGTTATAAGGAAATGCATGTGAATAATAAAGAGCATTTGGTGAGAGATGGGGAGAAAATTAATTCGGTAAGACTATACAGAGGGCTTCAGTGTATTTATTATACCTTATTTCTTTAGCTGACTCAGAGGTATAAGAATATAGGGAAGTGAGGGAAATTAGAAGTGGATCATAGTCTAATCTTTAAAAAGAATGTCTCTTACTTATAAAATGAGTCAATAAAGTTGTATTAGTATATTTCCAATTCTTGCTTCAACAAAAGTTACCTTTTGTCATGTTACTCAAATTGACCTCCCACTTTTCTTCCAAATGTTCTTCAAATGCTGCTGAATGACTTCATAAATCATATTGCTGATTGTGACGCTGAGTCTTAAAAAGAATGTGGGTTTCTCCAGTGATCAGTGTTGAAATGTTTGTTTCCATCATACAAGTTGGTTCAAAGAAAAAATATAACATTGGTAAGGTGTTTATATAGAAGTTTTCTTATTCACATACATTCAAGAATATAAACCATCTGGTGAGTGAAGGATTGGCACCTACTTGAAGCCAGTAAATGTTGAAAATTCTTTTTTCCTCTTAAAGGTATTTGGCGTATTATATATGCAAATATGTTAAGGTTTTCATTTGTTTTTTTAAGCTATAATTAATGTTTCTTGTCTATTTGACTTCTACCCTTCAAAAACGATGTGTTTTGTCTTTAGAATCACGGTATTTGAAGCTTCCGAGCATTTCAAGTTTTTAAAGTGTTGTCATGCTTCTCTACCGAAAAACAGGCATTTTTATTTTGCTGTGGTAAAGAAGCTTAAATACCATGAACTTCAAAAGGGTTTAAAATTACAAAAGGGTCTCTATGCCTGGCTTAGCACACTTGATAAAATACCCGACGAAGGCAATACATTTTGTGCAAGTAACGTATCCCCGAGGCGCCTCGCATAATTTAAAACCCACATGTTTCTGAAATTGTGCCAGTGACTCTGCATCTCGGGGCATTTCACTTTACCAACCAAAGTGGGCCCTCTGTGAAGTCATTCACTAGACATCACCCTCCCCATCGTTTGGAATTTATGCAACTCTTAGGGATCTTTGATATTTGTAGAGGGCGGGGCAGTGCCCTACTTCCCACTGTGCTCCTCAAGTGAGGCTCAGGGGGTGAGACTTCTGTGTCTTAATAAAATAAGGAAGACCTATTGCATTAACATGCGCAGAAAGCCCTTCCTTCTGGTTGCTTTTGTAGGTGGCTCCAGGTTGGACCCCGCGGGCTCCTTTGTCCCCACCAATACCAAGCAAGCTCTGTCCAACATGCTGCAGCGGCGCTCGGGGGCCGTGATGCAGCCGCCCTCCCTTCATGCCATCACGTCGCAGCAGCAGTTGATACAGATGAAGCTTCTGCAGCAGCAGCAGCAGCAACGGCTTCTCAGGCAAGCCCAGACGCGACCTTTCCAACAGGTTTGTCCCGCTCATCAGTGTCCTCCTCCATGTTTCATTAGTTCCTCTAGCTAGGGATGAGAGTGGGGATGTGACAGATTCTTGCTGCACGTGCATCCCTGTTTACCTGTGCGAGCGAGTGCACGTGTATCTCTCTCGTACAGGCTGATACATACTCCTCCCCCCTTGTATTTTACTACCATCATGGATCAAATAAGAACTTGAAATGTCTTAGGTTCATTAAAAGTATGCCTTAAAACAAAAAGAGGAGCTAATGATTTTCTGGTCACTTGGAAGCTGCAGGACTTTTATCCTTGAAGTGACCTGCTCTGAGCACTCATTCCCTATTATAATTATCACCATATTCCGTACTCCTTTTAGCTCTACTTTCACGTATTATTATTTGATGTATTACTTTGAGGTTGTAGCTCTGAAGCCCTGATGTCTCCTAGGTTTTCTCCTACAGTGCCCCGTACTGCACAGACTCTGTTTTGAGTATATACTTCACAAGATCTACAGTAGGCAAAGAAAACACTACAAGTGACAGTCAGTATATGGATATCTTTAACTCTTGATTTATATTATTTCTATTTTTATGCCCATTTTCTATAAATTTTAAAATGATAGTGATTGTTTAACATTGGTGGAAGTCACACGAAACTTAGTATAGACTCATAAATAACCCACCAATCTGTACAAATATGTTAAAGTAAAAAGAGGGAGGTGAGAACGTGACTTTTTCTTCCAGTTTCTGTACACTTTTTGTGTTTTCCAGTTTTTCTTAGAACAATTGCACTATGGTGATGCTGACACGATGAGAGCGCTTACTTTTTTGCCAAAACGCTTCTGAGAACTTTAACGTATTGATTGTCTTAGATCTCACAGCAACCCTGTGAGTGAGGTACTTTATGATCCTCAAAGGAAGTAGCCAGTCTAAAAGTGGATCCTGCTCTAAGAACAGCCACAGATTTTCAAGTTAGCAAGGAATTCTAACGCTTGTAAAAATATTCTTTGTATTTTGAGTAACTTTCTAGACGTATCTCCATTGTACAACTTGTGGCACTTCTGCATGAAGTCCACTTGGTGATTTGGGGGATGGGAGTGGTAGGGCTAGTTATGCAGTCTTAAAAATGGTTCTTTTCCTTTTTTTAATTTATTATTTTTTTAACCTGTGTTATAAGAAGGACAGGAGAGAGGAATCTAGTTTGAACCACATGAGAATACAAACAACAGTCACTACATGCTTGTCTCCCCCTGAGCACTCAGAGATTTTTGATCACTCAAACCCCCTGGGTGTCAGGAAACACGGGCCTAAGTTACTTCCTACACAGAAGTGATGAAGATTTGATTAAAATACTTAAGAAGCCTTGATTTTTCTCTAAATAAGCAGCATGTTTGGAGTCATTTAAAACCTCAGTGGGATTTTAGCTCTTCCTGGGGATGAATGAAAATGTTACATCACTGTTTCAAATCCTTATCAAGAAAAAATTTACTGGAAGTCGAATAATGATTCTACTAGAATGAATTCAGTTCCCTTTTAAAGTAATTTAAGCCTAAGTAAAATTTACCTTCCAATAAGTAATGTTTATTTTTTCCTATCTACCTTTTTATCACAAGGTAGAATTTGACTTATTAATAGCCCACTTTCAAACTATTACTGCTGGATTCAGTTTTGAATTTCTCTAATTGGGCAGGAGCTCACTGTGTCATTTATAGGTGAAACACCTGTCCTCAGAAGTTCACTTCCTGACTGACGCAAGCCATGACAAGCTATTTCCCCTAAAGCAAAAAAAAAAAAAAAAAAAAAAAAAAAAAATTGTGTAAAGGGGATTCAATAGAATAACGTTCACATATTCAGAAATATCCTTGCATGTTTGGAGAAGGTAGACTTACGACCTAAAACGTCACTGTAGGACCCCATTGCTCACAACACTCAAAAATACCTGACTCTATTCTTTCATACCATCTAGGGTTGTACTGCTGGTACCAATAGGAATTAACTGATAATGCATTCTTTTTTTTAACTGATTCTTTTGTAGCAACTCTGTCACATGTTGGATTTTTCTTTTCTTTCCTTTTCTTTTTCTTCTTCTTTTTCTTTTTTTTTTCCTTTTGAGAAGTCAGGAGTTCTTTCTTCAAGTAATAAAAGCTCAACTTCGTAACAGTGATTGTACCAGCATACCTTGTTTGACTGTGCTTTTGCTTTGTGGCACTTCACAGATATTACACTTCTTACAAATTGAAGGGTTGTGGTAACCCTACATTGAGCAAGTCTCGGCACTGTTTTTCCAACAGTATTTGCTCACTTTGTGTCTCTGTGTTACATTTTGGTAGTACTTGCAGTATTTCAGACTTTTTTATTATTATATTTGTTATGGTGATCTGTGATCAGTGATCTTTGATGTTATTACCATGACTCACTGGAGGATCAGACGATGGTTAGCATTTTTTAGCAATGAAGTATTCTTTTTAATTAAAGTGTACTTTTTAAAAGACATAATACTATTGCACACTTACTAGACTACGGTATAATTTAAACATAGCCTTTATATGCCCTGGGAAACCAAAAACTTCAAGTGACTCTCTTTATTGAGGCATTCGCTTTATTGCGGTGGTCTAGAACCAGGTCCGCAATATCTCCAAGGTGTGCCTGTATAATAGTCACCTCTCCTGCTCCCCCAATATTCTTTCTTTAACTGTTGAAACTTGCTTTACAGTTTCTGAAGGGCTTTCAGAAGCAGACATGTTTTTTTTCTCCCTCACCATTCTTGAAGTGTTGGATAATTGAGAAAAATAGAATTCTTTAAAGGAAGAGAAATGCATACGTGGTGCAGTCACAGGATGGAGTGGTCCTCCATAGAGTAGATGAGATTTGTATGTAGCATCTGCTAGAGTGCCTGCACCGAGGAGGTTCTCAGGGAAATGTTAGCCCCTTTCCTCTCTCCCAGTAGATCATGGATTAATATACCTAGAATCTAGCTAAATATGGTATCGTGGCACAAAAAAATTCTTCTTGTGGTAATCTTTAAAAATCTAGAATAAAGGCAGAATTATATGGAATATAAGGGATATTGATACAGTGTTTTCATATATGATTCTGGATGCAATTTGTTGTTTTTCTAGTAAGCACTGACCCATATTCTTCATAGTAAGAAGTGTTGATTCAAATTTTGGCAATAGCATTTTCTCGGATTAAACGCATACACAGAATGTGATTCTCTCTAGCTTCATACAAACTTGTGAGTTTTTTTTTTTTTCTTTCAGTTTTTGGCTTCTTATAGAGAAGATGGAATAGGTATCATTTTCCTCCTTATCCTACCAATTTTCTAATTACAGAATCCATTTTCTTAAATGTAACAAACATGTTGGAGAATTTCAAATTACTTAACCTTCAGAACTTATCTTGGAATTGTAGCAGCTGCTTTTAAAGACTGACCAGTTGCTCCAAGCCTTGGATGTGACTCTAGCTTCTCAGGCTGGTTGTACAGTGACCCCTGTCTGGCCCCCTCTTCTTAGGTCAGGCATTGGGTCTTATAATACTTTGTATCATCTTTCCACCTACTGAGCAGAGGATAGAAATCTATGAGGTGTTTATTGAATGAATTCATGTTTTGAGCAGCTATTTCCAGAACCCTGGAGTTTCTTAGTAGCCTTGATCCTTAGCAACCTGATTTTTATCCACAGACTCATCTCGTACCTCTTCCTCTGAGTGCTTCCAGAAACTTCTCCCAACAGCAACCTCTGCTATGGTTGTTTTGAAAACCTAGATGGGGCAGAGAGGGCACAAATTCCTGAATTCTGGATACATCTCAGACCTTGCAGAGTCCCCTTAGCCTCTTTACATGTAATGGACAGAGTTGATGTGTGTAGGAAGATCTAGCCTTAGATGGTGCACAGTGAAAACTAGGGAACCGTTATAGAATAATTCTGATTCTGCTGCAGAGACTGAATATCAGCTTCAGTTGGTCATGAAATTTTCTGTTATGAGCCATCTTACATTTCCTTAGGAAGGTATCAGTAGTGTCTAGAAAACAGGTGCTAAATAGCATGGATATTGTTAGGTATTGTTAACCAAATTATTTGATGTAGTGACTCTTATTATAATCAGGTGTATTTTCTTACAGCTTTAGTGCATATTAACATGCACAAAGATGTTAGGTGAGGAAACTCGTTGTCATTTTTCTCAGTTGTAGTCTTCATCCAAGGAAGTAGAAATTCTCCCCACCTCCATTCCTTACTCAGTGTCCCTTATTTAAATGGGACCCAGTATGGTGATTTTGTCACCTTTCTGTGCCTCAGAGGCTCATCTATAAAATGCAGCTAATGCAACATTTACTCCACAGGGTTCTTGTGAAATTAATGATTTAACGTCTGTAACAGCCCTTAGAACAGTGGCTGGCTTATAGTCTGTGCTTTACTTGTATAATCACATTAATTGTCCCTAATATGATTGGTGTTCAGTGGCCACCAGTAGAAGAGACCAAGAAAAAGGAATGTTGAATATTGTTTAGTTTTCCTAATAGCCATTTTGGTTTCTTAGAGCAGTATGTTTTTACCATCTAAATTCTGTGATACAAACTTTAGAGGGACTGATTCCAATTTCACTGTTAAAAATATCACTGTAATATTTTATTTTCCACATATCCCATGAGAACTATCATAAAATATAGAATGTTGGCTATAATAATGCCAAATGCTGCTTAAATTGTTTTTCAGTCACCTTTTTCTTATATCTAATATTTTTCTTCTGACACAAGGTAATTTCTTCCCCTCCCCCGCCCCGCCCCCCA